TATATATATATTACATGATGGCAATAATAATAACAGTCGAAATTGTTTAAGTTTAAGTCAACCATCCATTGTCGAGAAGAGAAGAGAAGTCTGACACAATGTCAATGTTAAAAATGCAAGGGAGAAGTAGGAAGTGTAAAGTAGTCGTTTGTACGGGCAATTGTCTTCTATATAAGGCAGGTTTCACTGTATTCTATTCATGTGGTTTGTAGCTATCAGTAAAGAGATATTACATTATTCTTTCTATGTAGTATTGTAAGAATACAGTATGTTTATTAATTTGTTTATGTGTGTATATTATATGTATAGGGTGGCGTCCAAGAGAAATGTGTAAATGTAATCACCCCTTCATCGTTTATAAATCTTGCACTACCCACTAATGCGGCATACTAATTTAAAGCTAAGTATTTTCACACAATTTTGCCAAGCCTAATTTTTTAAAGTTAATTTTGAATGACCTTAACTCGGACCACTCATAACAAAGATGAAATATTAATGTGTCAGATGATTCTGAAATTAATTTGTTTAGCTTTAAATCGGTATGCTGTAAGAATGGGTAGTGCAATATAGTTTTAACATGATGATTGTGTGATTTACATTTCACGCTTCTTTTGGACACCACTTTATAATGTAGTATAAAAAAGAGAGATAGAGACTGGAACAGACAGCTGACAGACAGACAGACAGACAAACAGAGCGACAGATAGAAGAGCCTAACGGACTGTAATGATCCTGTCCTATCCATGAATTCATGCTATAAGGCGAATATGTCCGTGGGTCATTCGTTGACCCCAAAGAATATTAATTAACTATTTATACAAGGAGGAATTCTGTAACGAGCGACCACTATGAAACATGGTAGAGGGTTAGGGCTAAGGTTAGGGTTTGGGGTAAGGGTAGGGGTAGGGGTTGAGTCAGGCTATGTCTCTTTTTAAAGTGTTTGTTTAGGCCACATATGTGACATGTGTGATTGCTTGGTCGTTACTCGTTACGGAAGTCCTTAATTAATTCCATTTTACCTCCTTGAGATTCCATTTTCTTCCGAAAGCACAGTTCTTCACGATCTTGCCCAATGGAGTTTGAGATTAGTTGGTAACGATTTCACCAATAAAATAATGATACGATATAATAATACACTGTAGCCGCAGACAGCTCCACGAAAAACGGACACTCTGCTGGCTCAAGAAACAGCGTCAAGAAGCGACTTTAACTGCTGACCCTTCTCTTTACTCAAATCTCTGTCTCCCGCGCTAGCTAACTTGAAATCTTGAAAGTTTGTTTGTTCCGAGAAAAATGCGACATTGACGTGTCGTTATTTCGATGTCTGACTAAATCTAGTTCCAGATCTAATTCTTCCCAGGCCTGCGTGTTGAATAAAGGACAATCCAGATAATTATACGCAAGTTTCCTAGTAATCTAAGTTGAGGAATTCCCATTATGCCGTCATAAATTTCGGGAAATCCCGATAAGGCGTGCTCCTCTCTCTCTCTCTCTCTCTCTCTCTCTCTCTCTCTCTCTCTCTCTCTCTC